TCCCTCTCCCCTGCCAGCAAGATCTGATCCGGTCCGCTTCCCACAGCCCAGCCCAGCACCTAGGGCTCTGCGGGATGCTGTCACCACCCTCCGGGGCTCAGACTCCAGAGCCCATTTCTCTGTTATCTGCCGGAAGAGGCGGGTTGCCCAGTAGCCACGCCCTGGGTTCCCCTATCGCCACCCCTGGGCACTCGGACAAATCTTTCTCAAACGCGATTTCGTTGCCTGGACCCCACTGACGCGCGCTCTCGAGAGCGCGCAAGCGGATGGTGGCCAAATTCCCGTGCAGAATCGCCCAGGCCGCTCCAATCCAACAGGCATTCCGGCTAGAACTCGCAGCCCGAGGGGCGGGTACGGCGGGGGAGCACGCCCGCGTCTGGGAGGGAGGGGCAGCGGCGGGAGTGACAGTCTGGTAGAGATTTGAGAAGCCTTTCCTTTTTTTACATTCATAAAAATTCTTCTGTGTAAAAAGGAATCAGGCCAGTTTTAACTCACGGAAGCAGAAAATTTGAAGTAACTGCAACAGCAGTTACATGTCAATTAAGCCTGCATATATTATACATTACATATGTATTTTATATATACACACACACAAATATATATAAGCACATAAGCAGTACAGGTATACACTAATGATTTAGGCTTGAGAAATAAGCAGACTTTAATAAAGAAGACTTTAATCCAAAGTCCTGTGGTTGAAAAGTAGCTTTTAAAGGAATGGGGATTATGTTTTGCCTACCTAGTAGGCATATATTAGGTTTTAGAAGTACTCTTCCCTGGTTAGGATTATCTTGGTTTCTGTTGGATGCTGAAGCAAAATCTCACAGTGGGTGGCTTATAAACAACAGAAACTTATTCCTCACAGTGGTGGAGGCTACAAGTCCAAGATGCAGGCACCAGCAGATTTCCTGTCTGGCTGGTTCACACTTACAGCTCTGGCTGTGTCCTCAAACCACTGGAGGAGAGGCCTCTTTGGGGGGTCTCTTATAAGGATATTGATTGACCCCATACTTGAGGTTTCCTCCCTCATGACCTTACCACCCCCTAAAGGCCCCACTTCCAAATACTGTCACCTGGGGTGTCAGGACTTCAGTTCATGAGTGGGGGCATACACAACATTCAGACCACAGGCTTCTCATCACCACTGTTCTCTAGAATGAACTCTGGAGCACCAATCATCTGTGCACAGTTGAATCTCAGTCTAACCCAGTACAGTCTGTTTAAGCAGCATTAAAATGATGGTTTTTCTGCTTTCTTTGAAGTAACATTAATTCATCTGGAGTCTTCCTCTTTCCCACCCAGAATTAGGAAAAAGACTCCAAAGAGCACACAGTTTTCAAGTATCTTTAAAGAAGGGGTCTTCTCCCATCCCAAGGCCACCTGATGCCAAAAAGCCTCAGGAAAGAGGGCTAAGAAGCTCAAAGAGGAAAAGTGGAAGGCATGGAAGAGGAAAGAATTCAAGTATGTTCCTTTTCATTCTTTGCAACTCATTGGCTTTTAGCTATCGCCAGGTGGAATGCTGGGAAGGCAAGAATGATGGAAAAGAGGTCTCTGTGAGAAAGGAGGAGAATAGAACAGGTGTGTCTCCTTCTCTATACTGACTGTGGATAATAAATTATCCTATGAGAAAATTAGAGTAGGAACTACATGAAAATGGCATCTCTCTCCCCCTCCCACCCTGAGTAACTCTCTTGAGCTGTTGCCTCCATATGTAGGGACACTGTGCTAGTCCATTTTCCATTGCTCAACCTGAACTGCACAGAGAGAATAGCTTATAAAGCCCACAGGTTTGTTCAACTTATGGTTCTAAAGGCTAGGAAGTCCAAGACTGAGCAGCTGGGTCTGACTGGGACCTCCAGACGATGTCACATGGTGAGACATAGCAGAGCATGCTGACTTGGCCTCTTCCCCTTCTTACAGACCCACTGCCGCAGCAATGGGGGCCTCACCTCACGACCTCCTCTAATCCTGATTACCTCCTGAAGGCTCAACTGGCCCTACCTCTTAATATTTCATAAGGGGGAATACATTTCAATATTTGGTGGGGACATTCAGACTGTAGCAGACACAACCAAATTATATTGTTCTGTTGTGTGCATGTGCAAATATGTAACAACTGTTATACAACTATATGTAATTCCCACTATTTTGTTAAATTATAATGCATCAATAGAAAAGTTAAGAAAAACCTTAGCAGACACAAATGTGGTTCTGACATTTACGGGCAGGTATCTGCAGAAGAGTATGTTTGTCCTGTAATTTGCACGATGGTGTTTCTGGAGGTTGGGGTATGGGGACCTGCCCCAACCTCCATTTACTTGGCTTCTCGTTGACTCATGGGCATCCATCTCACCCTGGCAGGATCCCTCCAGACCTGCTGTAATGCAGCCACTGGTTTTGCCTAAGTTTGGCTCCATACTTGATTTATGAATTGCTGGCATCAGCTCTTCTTTGATTACAGTAGCTTTGACTTGAGACTTCCCGCAAAATGTTCAGTTTCACGTTTGCTATCAGGTAATACTTTCACCACAAGAACAGGTTCCTCACAGCCATTATCTCTGTTCTCTTCTTGTTACTTAGTCCTTGAAGTTTATCTGCATGGATATCTACCTAGGTGAGCACCATGGTAAGGAAACTCAACGTGTGAAATTCCCAGTTTGTCAACATGAAAGTCCAGGTGGTATAGAAAAACAGAGCAGTTATTCTCATCACAGATTACTCTTTGACCCAGATTCTTTGCTGGCATTCTTTAAAATCCCACTGCTCTGTAAACATCATTCACTCTATATAATTTAATTTACTCATCAAATTTCAGGAAGAGATCTATTGGGAAAAATGAGATTGGTCAGCATTTATTTTACCAAATGCACAAGATAGGATGAAAATGGTTTGGAGGCAGCGCATAACAAATCATTTTTACCTTCTCTCCATCCACTCAGAAATTAGACAAATAGAATATGTTGTGGCACAAATGATAGGTGATGGGTTGGTTTTCTGAACACAGTCCCAGCCTCTGAGGATTTCACAGTGTCTGATGGGAGACATCAAAATTAACAATGGTAACAATAATAGTCTAAACATGACAGAGGAATACAGAGGACAGTGCTGGTGGGGTGTTTGGGCGAGAGTCGTGACAGACAATGCATCAGTCGGACCATTAGAAACGTGGTCATTAGGGATGTGGAGCCAGAGCAGGGCAGTGCCTGCAGAGCTTCACGAGTTTCTCAGAACACTCACACAGGGACACAGGGTGAGGGATGTAAAAGAGGGTGGAAGGAAACACGGGGACCCCAGAAGGGGTTCCGTGAGCCGTTCCATGTGGGAACTGGACTGCCGCAGCCAAGGCCTCCCAGGCGGAGAGTGGTGCAGCCAGAGCCAGCCTGCTGGAAAAGCGGTGGCTTCTCCTCTAATCTCCCCTCCAAGGACAGAGAGGCAGGAGCCAGGCGGGGCAACTGGGGAGCTCCTGCACTAACTCTGTGTGCGAAGGGTAAGTCCATGGAGGTTCTGGGACGAGAGTGGAGGCAACCTTGCCTCACCCACAGAACCAGCTGTGCAGCGCCACCTCTGCCCACGCTGTCATGGTTCTCCATCCTCCTGTCCAGCCACACATGGGGACCCTGTGGAGAGGTGGAAATGAAACTTCCTGTCTCCCCAGGACAGCGTGACATTAAAACAGCTGAGCTGGCCTTCTCCTCAGCCACCCCTCCTGAGCTACACAGCACTCTTAGCAATCCCACGTGTATTTACACACGTGTCCCAACCTGCCACAGAAGCACCCACCACACCCACGTTTGCACCCTCCAGCTCCAAAATCTGACTGACAAGCAGCGAGCGAACAATTGGTGTTTCTACGATGAATGAAGGGGCACATGTGCCACCACCTCTCTCCTGTGACACTGTCAATCATGAATCGACATTTATAATATTTAAAAATAAATATCCTTTTAAAACCTGGGCATGTTGCCCTATTGATAAAAATTGATTGAAGAAACCACAAGTGTTTACATAAATGTTTCAGTTTTTAAAAGACCTTCCACCTTGACCTGATCTCACTTTGCCAGAGTAAAGCAAGCATCACAGACATTGTTTAAGTCAACCTCCATCTCAGGCCTTGCTTAACATGACACAGTTTTTCCTAAGTTCACTGAAATCATAAACTTTCAGAATGAGATGATTCTGACCAAATCCTCTGGACTGGGTTGGCCCTAGGGGTTTTCTATGTTGGGTAAGAGGCTTCAGTGAACCAAAATACATGGGGATCCAGCTCCCTGTCTCCCTCCCCTTGCTTATCTCTGAATATCAACAAGTGAGTCCTGCCACATACCCACATTTCAAGTGGAAGAACAACTTGCAGGCCGTTTGGGCTCCATATCCCTAGTGGTGCCCCATGTCAGCCCAAGGCCACAGCTACTTCAGCCACTCAGTCTCCTGACTCCAACACGTTGGATAAGGACTCTTGACTCGAGCAGTAAGATGTCAATATTAGATACTCACAAGGAAGTGTGATAAATATGAAAATGCTGACTATTGATGGGTTCTTTATACGAAAGAAGACCATCATAAAGAATCTTTGTAAATAAGCACATTTTGGAAAATAGAAGCAGTTGAATGTTTGAGAATCCTCTTTAGGTAAAGTGAAATTCCTTCACATTATATGTCTATTTTACAGAAACAGCAGGGCAGACTCTCTGTTATAGAGTTCCTATGGAATCTTTTATAGGGCAAAAATGGCCAAACAATTATAAACTGAAGCTAATGCACAGAAAATATATTTATGCAAAAGGAGGGGTTTTCATTTGCTTATAATAAAACTTATATGACACAATCAAATTAGCTTAAATTATAATTTTCAGGCATAAATAGTTTCAGGAAAGAAGCTGAGAGGCACATTCATAAATATGCCTTGTTATTTTCCCAAAAAGTGGCACAATAATTAATAGATAAGTCAAAATTGTCAGTCTATTTTTTTTTCAAAAAAGATGAGAAATTAACAGTGGGTAGTAAATTTTGAAAAATGTATTACTTATGCCCAGCTATTGGGCAGGGACTGTTAGGCCCACCACTATCAAACATATAATAAAACTCTTCTTTGAATGAGATTATAAATAAAACTGGATGGACTAGGAAACCCCTGTTGAAATGGTTAATCCACAAAATAGTATTACTAGGCTAGAATACAAAAGCTCTTAATAACCGGATACAGGCAATTAAGATAAAAGGGTTATGAAACAAGAGAAATACATGCTTACATGATGTCTAAGCATTTTGGAGTCAGGGAGCTCAGCCTGGGATCTGAAGCACAGTGTCACCCCGGTCCCCCGGCTCTGCTCCCCGGGTCCTCACCGGTGCTGGCTCTTTATCTAACCACTGTGCTGCTCACACCCAGGTATCACATCCTCTCTCTCCAGGCCATTGCTGCCAGCTCTTGGCTCACCCACCCTTACCTACTTGCTCCTTTCCAATGCATTCAGCTGGACACTTGCCAACCCCTGGCTGGCTTCCCTGTGCTGTGAGGGAAGGCTCCCAAGTTCCTGCACCCTGGACAGAGGCAGTGGACGCCCTTCTTCGGCCTGTCTGAGCACTCTTTTCTTTCTGGTCTTCTCTTTCTCCTTCCTGCCCTCACTCTCTCCTCCTGTCCCCCTGCTTTCTCTCTCCCCCACCTCTGCACCCCTGCACCTTTGCATGTCTCCATCTCTGTACTCCAGGCACAGGGGCTCCATTCCGCCCTTGAACCCAGCTCTCTCACTTGCTGCACAAGGCCTTTACTTGTTATTTCCTTTACCTTAAATGCTCTCCTGCTGTTTAAAAATAAAAACAAACCAAATATTTTGTCCAAGTACAGCATATTCAGAGATGTGTGTTAAGTCCCAAGTCCGCATCTGCGTGAGCCATCTGGAAGGGAGCACAGGACTGCGTAGCACCACTCCAAGCACACGGCACCCGAGCTGGGTCAGCGGCTCTCCCGGTGCTCTCCCCCACTGACCAGGCCACTGACCAGGTGCTCTCCCCCACTGACCAGGCCCTCCAACACTGTCGAGCTCTGAACTTCATGTAAAGGGGATTAGACCACGTGTGCCCTTGAGCCTGGCTGTTGGACTCAGGCGTGTGCTGGGGAGACTCGTGATGCTTGTCTTCACTGTGATCTGGCTCCCTGCTGTGAGCATGCCCTCATCAATTCCATCATCATTAGCTGCTCAGTTTAAGTAAGGATGCTGTGACTTGTAGTCCAAGTCTCTCCTTCCACAATCGTGCTGCTGTGAACACTGATGTGGTGTGGCCCTGTAGTGTGCCATTTTCCTTTTGTGAGTACTTGTCAGTGTTTTTATCCATTTGTTAACTCTAGTGTCTGAGACTTTTTTTAAATTTATGTTGTAAAATCTTTTAATATGCCTAGGATATAAATAATTTGTCAGTTAATAAGAATTGGAAATATATTCTACTACTCTTTGAATTATATTAACATGATGTTCCTTTTTCATCAAGAATGTAGTAAGACTTGATTTCTAAACAAATCAATCTGAAATCTAATCAATTTCCATCAATGTTAAGTTTATCAATTTCATTAGTTGCTTAGAAAACAACTTTTAGTTTGTTGAAGTGTATCACACATTTGTTTCCCACTCAAATAATAAAGATGTTTATGTGTACTATTTTATTATTTTAATTTCTTTGGGTTTTTATTTGCTGTTCTGTTGTCTAAATTATTGAGATGTTAAGTTACATAATTGAGATTTTAATTTCCTTTGTAATTTCTTTTGCCAACATGTTGTTATAAGTGATTTTTAAACATTTAGGGATATGTTAGCTATATTTTAGGTATTGATTTCTAGCTTAATCTTATCAAGAGAAAATTTATGCTAAGAATAAACTAATTTTATTAAGAGAAAAATTATGCTAAGAATTTCAATAATAATAATTTGTGGTTGAGAGAGAGACTGTGTGTGTGCATGCTTATTTTCAATTTGGCAAAGAATATATTGGAGAGAATGCAATATATGTTCTGAGGTTATATGCAGCATCTGTAAATTTCAGCTAGGTCACAGTTGTTCACATTTGCTTTTCCAATATTCTATATCCTTTTTAACTTTGGTTTGGATGTTCTTTTAGTTACTCAAAGTAGTATGGTAAAACCTCAGATTATAGATATATCTATTGCCCTTTTAATAAGTTCTGTCCATTTTTGCTTTACATGTTTTGAAGCTTTTTTATTAGGTGCATAGTGATTTAAAATAACACATTCTTGTCAGATAGTCTCTTCAGTGTGAAACACCCCTACTTATGTTTACTAGTTTAGTGTTATATGCAAGACCATATATATCAACTTTATTTTGCCTACTGTTTACTTGTACTGTATTTAATTTACTCTCATTTTATTTTCAGTTACTTTTTGTCTGCGTATTTTACACAGGTTATGTTTTTTTTTCTGTGAGCTACATCTATTTGCTAATCCAATCTGCCAGATTTTCTCCTTGAATCTGGGCATTCAATCCATTTGCATTGGCACAATTACAGATGTATTAGCATTTTAATCAATCATCTTATTAGTTTTATATTTGTTCTCCTTTTCTTAATTATCTTTGTTGATGACTCTCCTTCCCTCTTGTTACAGACCAATTATCACTATTCTTTCAATGTCTATCCATGAGGTTCAACATATATTATTAGTAAATATAAGTAGTATAATATATTGAATATTATATTAATTTAAATGATTAATATTGTTTAATTTATAATTAGATAAATAAATTTACAATTTTCCAAGTAATAAGGAACTTTGAATAATCAAATGGCATTTAACAAAATCCTGTTTGTCATGAATTATTGATATAGGGTTTTTCTAATTATTTTGCTACACACCCAATATTTAATTGGATTTATCTAGATATTTATCCTTTCCATTCTTTTTTTTTTTATAGCTTTCCCATTTTTATCTGTGATCATGTTTCTGGGATTCAAAGAAATGCCTTAGTTTTCCCTCTACTGGAAGTTTGCTGGTGACAAGTTTTCTAGGTTTTCATTTTTCAGAAACTG